TTTGAGTCTTTCATGTACGAGAAGTAACTACTTTATTTGGATAAAATTTTTCAAAGAGCTTTAAGAAGTAAACCGATAAAAATAAAGAAAAGTAATTTTTTCATTTAAAATAAAAATTATATGTAAAGTAAATTTAGTGTACTAAACTACATATTATTCTTTTTGAAATGTGGAAATGTAGTCACCACAATTTACGTACAAATTCCATGATATACATATAGATATATATATATATACATACATACATGTATATATACATACATATATATATATATATATATATATATATATATATATATATATATATATATATATATATATATATATATATATATATATATATATATATATATATATATATATATATATATATATATATATATATATATATATATATATATATATATATATATATCATACCTGCAGGGAATCACAGTTTCCAATTATGGCAGTAGATCTGCAGGAGCATCACAAAAAATTGGCTACACGTGCAAAAGACAATGGAGAAATGAAAAGCAAATTCTTGTTCAGATAAGAAAGGAGAAAAATATTCTTTAAGACACATAAATTTTTTAGTTTTACTTACTTTTTTTAAAAAAATATATATAAAAATTTATATTTTTTTATTATTTTATTCTTATAATTTATATAAAAAACAACGTAAAAGTGTGTTAGGATATCATTATTCAACGAAGAATTCGCATTATTTGCCTTTTTTTCGTGCGGACGTTCTGATTCGGAAACCAACTAAAGTCAACCTTCTTTCAGATATGCAAAATTTTTAAGAACAAATTCCCATTTGAGAATGCCAAATCAGAAAGATATGGGATAACCACTACTCCTCTTTCGCAACTTTCTTTCTTCATATATATTCTATTTTCACAACAGTCAATTACCCATCGTAAGTTCGAGGAACAGAATCATCTAAGTCAACTTTCTCTTCATTCCATACTGCTTTTGGACAACAAACAACGTCAAAAAATCGTTGCCATGTGTAGTTTTTTTTATTACAGAGTAACATTTTTTATCGAAAAGAGATACTTTAACACCTAATAAAATAAAAACATTCAGTTCATAACACATTTTAATAATATAATATATTAAAAAAATATTTAAATAAAATGTTAATTTATTAAGTTGTTAAATAGTTGTTTTTACTTTGGTTAGTCAAAATTTCATGCTTTATTTGTGTATTTACAAAAGTTAGAAATGGAAGCCGCCGTTCATCAGGTTTCGGTAGTCGGCTCCCCAGTATCAAGTCACTAACTTTCTTTGACACACCACCAACCTAAATTGATGCGCATGTGTAAAAATTTACTAATTTACAAAGCTTATTTCTAACGTAGGTTTGATAAGTATATATTATGCTTCTAACATAGGTGTGCAGGAGAGAGCTTCGCAGCTGCTCGGTCCCAGTAACAGTTAAGCAGAGTTAAAGTGTAAGTAATATTACAACGGTTACTGATAACTGGTTAAGACAGATATTAATGACTATTAGGAGGTAAATTAATTGGTCAGATTCTTATAAACTCTATAAATAGAAATTTAATTTCGAGGTAATGTTTACGCTTTGATAATCACATTACTTTAGATCTCGAGAAAAAAATTCTGACTTAAACATTTGAATGTATTTTGCAGATCATCTCCCAACCGATCGGTTATCAAAGGAGAGAACACTTTGTAGATCTCTTCTAAACAAGAAGAGACTATACTCAACGCTATAGATTATTGAAATTCAATCATGTCAATGGACATCGTTTTTATTTTTCAACGTCAATTAATGCTTGATGTTTTTTCGGGTGTTAAATATCAAAAATAACAAATATCAAAACTCATTTTTATACTAATAGTCATATACTACTTTAAGGTGTATTTTTTTTTTAATCATCTATAAGAACAAAAAATTTAACAACAATAGTGATAAATCTATTTTTTATTGAACTCTCTCTCATTGGTATCTTTGATAATTTTGTTTTACAACTTATCCATCAATAAATCTGATTTTTTTTTATTGTTGTGAATTATCTTAAAATACAATTAAAAAATTTAAATATAACTTATTAACACACAAAAATATATACATATGCAATTTTTAAATGAGTACGATATAGATAGGGATAAGATATGGACGTACATATTTATTCAATCCTTGTACTTGTTTCATTTTAAATTACTATAGCACTTTTGCTTTATATTGAAATATTATCATTGGTTATTTATTTTATTATTAATTAAAGATATATTTTTAGTTTATTTATAAACATAATTATGATATTATTTGATGAACATTAAGAGTGATATGTTGACCTGAATTTAGGTGAGTGTTCAGTGGTATGCATATATATTAGTGATCAATAAATTTTCTTACAAAATTTATCATAATATTAAAATTATAGTTTAAAGTCTAATTTATTGAAATTTATTATTTATTAAATCTATTTCCATACGAGATATTCATTAATATTTAATCCCAATGTGGATCGGTATATGTTTATATGTAAGAAGTGTGTTAAAAATCTCATTTCAAGTAAAAAGATAAAATAAATTTAAAAGATATAAGTAGATTTAAATTCCATTTTATAAGTTTGGAGTTGAAATAGGTTTTAAAGGTCACTTTTTAATAATTTACTATATAATCCAAAAAAAAATTATATTAATTTTCTTTAATCTTTAATTTGGTAATTTAGTTATAAGACGATACTTTTATTTTTTTATAATTATTTAATTTTATAGCTAATAAATACATATAAAGATAAAAATAAACTTGTAGTTGGGACATAAAGATATGATATTGAGATTCCACAATTCCTAAAAAATGCAAAAGTGTAAATAAATGGTGGTCTAAAAATTGTTCTTATGTTTCTAGAAATGTTATTCTAGTTAGATAAAGACGATAGCCTTTTTGTTAATGGACTCTCAACAAACAAGACACTTTACAAATACGCTAATCACTGTTTCTTTAGGAATTCATACTGTTGTGCCTTAGACTGATACAGTGTATCCGTATGTGCGATAATTATTCTTTCAAAGCAATCTAGTATCAAATGAATATTAATTAATTAACCTCTGTGCCCATACTGATACAGAAACCAATTATAGTCAAAATATGATCAGAACTTCCTTTTTCAGCTGAGAACAAATTCTCATTTCAGAAACATGGAGCAGTGATCTCTATCCAAACCTTGCTTATATATATATTCTATTCCCATACAGTGAATTAATGAAGGTACACAGTTTTGAAAAGAGAACGAGCTAAGCCAACATTTGCTTGATTCCAGACAATGATAATGGTTTTGATACAAAATCTTTTAAAGAAGTTGGAAAATAATTTTAATTTTTGGAAAGTTGAACAGATTATTTTTAAGTAAAGAAGACGTTGTTTGCTTAAGTGTTATAATCAAAGAATATTTTTTCAAAATAATGCTCTTTTTTAATTTGTTACACGGCTTTTTAAAAGAATAAATTTAAAATTAAAAAAAAACATATAATGATTATTTTTATAAGAAAATCATACTGTAATCAGAAACTATTATAGAATCAATTAGTTATTGAAAAAATAGTAATATAAACAAATATGAATTAACTTGAACTTTTCAAAATCCCAAAATTTATAAAACTAAATCCTGTGTGGCTTGTTTATAATCCTAAACAAACTTAAACTATAAAATTGAATTGTTTCCATTTTATTATTAATTTTTTGTTTGTTTAAGTAATTTTTATTTCTCAATTCTTTATTTTTTTATTTTTGTGTTTCAGTTGATTGAGTGTATCTGCTAAAATTTAATTTATGAAATGGCTTAATAAGAATAAGAAAAAGAATAAGACATAAAGTTCAAAATTTTGTGTGTGATGAACCTGGATTTAGACAAGTTTCGAAAGTTTTAGTGAAGTGTGACGCAAGGACTTATTCTCGGCCATCAACTATGTTAAAAACGTCAATGGTCACAATGTAGCAAAAGTCGTCCATTTTGTGATTTGCCTTCTCAATTGATAATTGTTTATTTTTTTAGGAAGCATGAAAACCTTGACTTTAGTACTATTTCGATAAATTTAAGTTTTTTCTAATTATCATGTTATTAAATATTTTTATTATATTGAATGCTCAAAATATTTTTTAAGCATTTATTTGACTTTTGTCATGACTTATAGAATAATTGATATACAAAGTATGACGGCAAAGTGAAAACATGTTTTTTTGACAATAAAGGTAAAAAGCAGAGTATTTAAATAAAGAAATATTATTTAAGCAGTAAAAACTCAATAAAAAATATTTAAATATATACAGAATTTAAAACTTAATTACGTTTCATTTTTACTCAAAAAAGTGATATTCAAAATCTATACTCACATCCCACAACCATGTTCATTAAAAGCAGTGTATAGTCTTTTTTTCCACATAAGCATTTATAAGAAAAAACCATAAATTAAAATTATTTTATGAATTGATATCGACTTGTACGACTTAATTTAAAAAAAAAATTAAGATGAAAAATTCTAAAAATATGAACAAGAAAACACTATTCCCTATATAAAATCGGCTACGCAAATCGTATTATGTAATTCTAGTTAAAAATAAAAGTTTCATCTACAAAACTAAAACGTTTAAATCTACTGTAACTTGAAGAAAAAATATCAGTTACTTTTTCTTTTTCTCCTCCATAAATATATTATATAGTTGTGAATAATTCTTTTCTTTATCCTAATTATTATGCTGGTGAATCCAAACATATCTGTCCAAATTTATTCTCTTAAAAAATTATATAATTTACTATTGTAAACAACCATCAAGGGTTGTAAAGATGTACTTTTGATACTAATTGTGATCGTCTGTTTTTGTTCAAGTAAATATCAGTGCAAGATTATTTCAAAATTAGAATTACACTTCCTCAAGGTAAATTTCAAATTCAATACTTATACAAGACTCAATACTAACGTAACTTACATCTGAAAAACGCTGACAAAGAGACTACAAAATTTCATCAAAGAGATACGCATAAGAATGGACAAATGAATTTCTGAATGAACAGTAAGGTGTTTTGAACTAAAAAACTGGCATGTTTTACAAAGATGAACAACCATAATGAGTTGATATGATTCCTCCAAAATCTATCATGTAAAATATAACCGAAATGGAAGGAAAAAAAATAAGCCGTCCATCCCAAAGGAAGGAACACTGAATCGTTAGCCTCCTGTTCTGTCCATGTTAAGCCACCGAACTCCATGGCCAGTTCACCTTGCACTCAATATATGCGGCTGCCAGGCGATCAGACCTCAATAATGCTGCAATTTACAAGTCTCATGTCATATGAGAAACCAAGATGGGGGCCGAAAGTAACAACTTTTCGACCAAAGAATAGATCAAAATAGCTGGCTCATGGTGCTGAATAATTGGAAAATAGATGCAACAAATTATCCAGTGTTTCAGGAGTGAATTTCCTAGCAAATAAGTAACATGGCTTCTGAATCCCGTTCCATAAGCAAGGCCAGCTTTGCACTTCTCTCTGTGGAAACACAAGATAATTCATCAAGCTGGTTAACTCATCCTCTATAAAACAGATCAGTAAAGCTATCTTGTATCATACCGTCTCATCACTGGTTACGTGCACGCTAACATCGATGGACTGCAGAAATAAAATTATTGTTAATATCCATGTACTAAACTTGAAAACAAAATAAACAAAGACAATGCTAATTTGAAAGAGGTTAACTGCTACATCACACTTGCTAAACAAAAATACTACGAAGAAAGGGAAACCGCCGCACCCGTATGTTTGTTTTACTTTCCCTTAAAAGTCTGATTGTGCGTTTTTACAATAACTTAAAGATAGGGAGAGCACTGTCAATACGCAGAGAGAGCACTCTGACGCATTGCACTACTTTTAAGGAATTTTATTTCAAATTTTCTTATGCATGACCATTTAAATTCAGTTTTCATTCAAGTTTAGATTTCCATTCCATAACATGGATTGTGTCAATTAGGATGCAATCAATGCCATAAGGTTTTAATCCAATCCATTTAACACATCTTAAGATATCCAAACAGATAAAGACTGGGAAGTGATGACGATACCAGAGGTTTACCCTCGACAACCCTTCTCGTCTACACAGTTGCTCACAGAAAAGAATGAGTATGTATTGTAAAATTTAGAGTTTTAGCAGAACTATACCGTGATATTCTTCAAAAGTTCATGAGTTACATCCTGAGGCCTATAAGACTTCGGGTGCCATTTTCTCTCAGACCAGTCAACATGAGTTAATGACCAGTTTGCAATTCCACCAGGATCAACCATCTAAAACCAGAGACATAAGCTACTTAGCTTAAGAATGAAAAATCTTAAAACAGCATTACAATTCAAACTCACCTGGAAGAAGGTCGGCAAGTAATGCTCATCAGCAATGCAATTCCGCCCCTCCAAACCGGGCTGGAAAAATAACAAATTTCACATCAATACTGAAGGTAGTATATAATACTAACTCTGTTTATTTCTCCTACCCTCCCTTTATGAAGTAAACAAGACTATTCTCCCTCCGGTCCTATTTTCTATCCTCCCCTTTCATTAAAAGCCTCCCCCTCTACTCCTTTAGACCTAATGCTGTAGTAACCAAGTGACCCACAACACCAGTGCACAATACGACTCCATACATAGCATTTGCGTATCATCTCTATGTTACCCGGGTCAATAAGGTGTTTCTTTTCTAGCTTACACGGCAGTACATTTATGGAATTTAAAATTCTAAATTATTAGAACATATATGGTCCAATCCCCTTAATCACTAAACAACACTGGCATGCAAGATAAGACCAATAATATCAGGGGTGCCAACACCTTTTTGGCATTCTACATTGTCATTCTCTTTCAGATTTTTGCAACACCCCATACCTGTAAATTGCAGGGGCATACACAGCAGTGGCCATGCACTCTTACAATGGACAGACGCTTTTCTTTTTTTTCTCAATGCAAAAAAAAGGAGGATCGTACAAAGTAAATGATTTCTGTAACGTCTTACATACTTCGGAGAAAAATTATTAAAAGAATAAAACAAAAGTAACAAAATGCAACATCCATGTATTGCTTAAAAATACCGTTAAGGATAATTAAAACACAAAATCAGAAACTTGGCGTCTTGAACCTCAAGAAATACTAAATTTTCTTGGCTTGATGAATACAAATTTTAAGCAGAATTAAATAAAATAATAAGGTTAAATACAACTAACACTTCGAATAAATTAAACTATCATACAAAACCAATTTAAATATTAATCACAACAATATATGAAAACAACTTTACCTGACAGTAAGACCGGAATTTTGAATAATACAGGCTATCAGCCATGACTATAATTGCATGCTGCCGTTTCATCGCAAACCACTGCAAGAGAAGATAAATAATAAGGCAGAGACATAAATGGGTTATACATAAATGTGTGTGTGTGTGTTTGCATTTTCTTAGCTGCCAAAAACTCGGACTATTGCTGAACAAAATCGTAAAGGAATAGGTGTGGTGATAATGAATGACAATTTAGGACACTGATTGGGTGACCATAGATAAAGTATTATTCTTGTTATTGACGATACCACCAAGTTTCTATGACAAAACTCAATTCTGTAGTGTGTTAAGTATAGCCTATTGATAGAAATCACACGAGGGTATGAAACAATGGAAACTTCCAATTATCCAGTTGGTATCTTGTGAAAAGTGCAATTGTTAAATAAAGTAGACAAAATACTTTATTCCAATTAAAAATTCATTGTATGTAGATACGCAATATTTCTATTTTAAATGTTGAATCCCAAGCTCCATCGAGACTTTAGCAAGAATATACCTGTGCACCCTTTCTAAAGTCCTTCACCTCAACTTCAGGAAGCATGCGATCTGAATACCTTCCATTGCCGTGAGGACCAGGATCCTTAAAGCTAATAAGAGAGGAAAAGTTCACATTAGTACAAATATGTCAAATAGACAGCAGAAACCACAAAGAAGAATGGATATTATCTTGATAAAAACCCAGAGGAGAAAGATTGTCATACCAGTCAACAAAGCTGATATTTGTATGCATCAGATAGTTGTAAATATAATCAAAATGATACAGAGGCACACAGCTGCAAAATCAATATACACAAATCAGAAATTGATAAAACCTATAAAACTGAGTAAAATATACTTTTAATTCCTAAAAATATGATTTAAAGTGGTTTTGGTCCCCTGTTTTTTTTCTTTTGTCAATTTTAGTCGTTGTAAAATTTAAATTATTTACAGACCTCTTGGATCCAGCGATGGAAAGTTGGAAGCGGGTAAAAGAGAAGAAAGTATTAAATACTGGGGCACACAATCATTGGAAAAACATAAATTTCAAGAAAAAGGAAAAACACTCTTCATATAAGAGTGAAGATTTATGCAGAATCATAGGTATAATTGATTATTTTAGGCTGAAAACATAATGGATTATGCCTTTGTATATATCTTATATATTGAGACATAATCCATTATGTCGTTAGTATTTACATATTTATTTATTATAATAAAACAAATAATTAATATAATATTATTAAAATAAATAATTATTTTCAATTAAATCTATTAAAATTTTTTTACTCAAATTCAGCCGCTTTCTTTTAATTCAAAGAATTTCATTTTCTACACTTTTTTCCTTTCCTTTCTTTCTCTTTCCACTCTCACCTCTGTCCAAATAAAGCTAGGAAAACATCCAAGCATCAATCATGTCATGTTCCCTCAATATGGACCAATAATGACATGATTAGACATTCATGCCATATCACCGGTATGTAATTCTCAAAAGATTTTAAATTTGGATAATCATACTTTTGATAACTTTTTTTTAACAAAATTTTAACATCATTTACGTGTTATTATGTGATTATTATTTTTGATTATGGAGTAATTTTGGACTAATAACAGAATAATACGTAGACAGTATTAAATTGTTGTCAAAGTATCATTATCCTTAAAATTTAGGAGGACAAAAACCACCGGAGAAAAATTTACGGACAAAAAACAAATAAAATCATACTTATGGGAACAAAAAACATGTTAATTCTAAAACTAATTAATCAGTAAGAACATAATTAAAAGAAAACTCATAACACATTAAAAGTTTACCTATCAGACAGTAGAACAAATTGCTGGTTGTCAGGATCTTGAAGGGCATTCCCTAATAGCCGTCTCTCTGCATCAACCATAGAAATTTTACCCCAAATCACCTGCCACAGCACTTCTGATTAAAAGAATTGTTCACAACAAAACCACAGACTATTGGACAACAACACGCAAATACACTTGTTGTCACTATCCCTATAATTAAAACAGAAACACCCGAATTTAAAAAGCCCATTCACCAGCCCAAAAAAACACATTCAGAATGATTTAAAGAAAATACCAAATAATTTTAACCAGATGCAACATTGCTTAACTAAAATAAGTTCAGAGAGTTCAGAGTCAAACTGGACTTGTCGACTTCTCCACTTATTCCACCCAATAAAACAGATACTTTATCTTATTTAACAAGAATGAAAGTGTGCAACAGAACTTTGTGCTTTCATTTTGGGTTACCACTACAAAATTTGAGATCTCGAGGCCAGGCATAGGGCTACTATTTCTTCTTTCAGCTCTGGATTAAGTAAAATGTCTATGATGTGAAACTCTTCCAGCATTGTATTTCCAAATCATGAATTAAATAGTTAAATAATCCGCTAATCTCTCAACTCAAAGTCAACAATAACATTCTAGTTCCCTAAAATCAGAAGTGGTGCGTTCAATAGAAGATGTGAAAACATTAAGGCAAGTACATTTAACTTTTGTTTGTTTAAGCATAAAAATAAAATGGAAAATTACACTAGTCTTCACTGGAATCTTGTTAAATGACGCTACAATTCCCCTAAATTTTACATAAAGACTCATCTTTCCTATGTTTATCATACCTCCTATCTTATTTAATAAAGCGACACATACACTTCTTTATTACTCTACCAGATCTTCTAAGGGCTGTTTTCAATGTTCAAGAACATTTATTATTTTTTTTCTCAATCACAGCCTTACTTTCCACCTAATTTAAATTAATGTACACATTTATTGAAAAAGTGCAAATGAAAAACAACTCATCCATTTATGTTAGATTATAAATTAAAATCAATTAAAAACAGTAAACTAGAAAATTCTATAACTATTTAATTAGAAAGTAGAAATTTATTCTTTTCCTAGATATGTGTATAAAAACCTTAAGTGCGCACTTAAAGAAATAAAGGTAATACAATCTAAGGGACTTGAGTGTTTGATAGAATCTAGTAGAGGTGTCATTGTCACTTAAGGACACTTCAGGAAAAGTAAGTACAATTTCCCCAAATACAAGTCCTTTTTTGACATAGCTGTGTCATAAGGTGTTTTAAGGTATTTGCTTACACAATTATTATGATTTCTTTAAGCATGTCTTATGATTAAAAAATCCATTTTTTCTTTACGTAAGAAGTTAAAAACAAACAGTAGATGGAAATATGATTCACATAAGAGAATATGTATTTACTGTAACAGCTAATTAAGACAGTACAATTCATAAACGATAGTAAACTGAACAGTAACAAGAAAATATGTACCTGGTCACTGCGTACATCCCGATTAACAAAATATCGACTCACATGAATTGGTTTTGTCTTGGATGCATGCACATAAACAGAGAACTTTCCTTCGTGACCCTGCAAAAAAGGAGTAAAGCATCTTCCAGGTAAACACAAACCTCAAGATAAATAGGATTCAAAAGAAAGCAAACCAACTACCAACCAAGGAAATTACAGAAACAAACTATGGATGCATGTGCATTACAATCCATTATGAGGAGTCTGTTATCAATTAGCTATTAAAAGTGTAAAACATATTTTGCCTCTTGCGTTGTAAAATACTGAATCAAAAATACAGACCATTTTAATTATTTAAATCGTGCAACAGTCTCCTTAGGCCATCATCCCCAAAAAAAAGAGAGACCGCAAATAATTTTCATACAAAACACCGGTGCCAGCTAAAGGTGCTACAATAAGCAGTTTTTCTTTTCTAATAATTCCAATACAGTTTTCTGACTGAAGGAATGAAATCCTCAAATTCTCCAAAGTCCTGACAATTTGATGTTTCTTCTAGCAGTCACTTGTAATAAAAGAATCATCAAATACAATAAGGGAGTTGCAATCATAGAAAAATTCATAGTGTCATCAACAAGCTAATTTTCTAATAGATAAAAGAATGCAGGATATATATACACTACCAAACTGACTATCTTCTTTGTCATAAAATGTGTCACAAATACAATTCAAAGAATAAAATTGACCCTCTTCCAATGTGAGAATTGAAAAACAACAGCTTGGACATATAAGATTAGACAGGTACAAATCTTACTTGGAAAAATTTGTCCCATAATTTTTCGAATGGTAGAGAGCCAGGTGACAAAAACATGAAGGCAACTTTTGATTTTCTTGAAACAATTGCCGGTGAGTTCAAAATATCCTTAATCACAACACGTGAAGCAATCTCCTCATCGGTGTATTCTCTTGCGGGCATAGGTGGAAGCCAATCAACAAAACCCTTGCACCCTCTGGAAGAAAAGACATAGCAGGCCGACTTGCTTTTTGGTGGGTAGATATAAGCGCAGATTAGAAAGACACAAACAAACAACACCAAGATAATAATCCACATGGGCTTCTTCATGGGAGGACGGTGGCGAGACCCAGGCAGTATCTGCATATCACCCACGCTGTCCAAACGCCAACCTTTTTCTGTCTTCATCTATGCAAATGCATCACACTGTTCACCTCCAGCAAATCTCTTTATCATCCACGTGCTCCCCCACTCCAACCCACAGAAACAAAGAGCCTATACCCTACAACTAACTGACAGATTGATGCAGAGAAATCTGAAAACAAACACGAGTGTATTAGCGAACAACAAACAAGTCAACCCTTTTATCCACTCAATCCTTCACAGTAATCCACACCTGACAAATGAATAACAACCCTCAAGATATATTCAAAAGAGAGATAAAGCTAGAGGATTCTTCTAATTTTACTAAATATTTCACAACTCTAATAAACAAATGAAGATAAAGAAAAAAATACTCACAACAAGAAAAAAGTCGAAGGATTAATCACTCACGCCACAGAATATTCACAAAATCTTAACTGCAGGACAGGGGCAGGGACTAATGTATTCCATGTTTCCAAGCATCGAACCAGCTAAAACAACAATAATATTCACAAAAACACAAATGCTAAAACAAACTTTATAATCTCAACAAACAGGAACTTGAGTTTAAAATTCAAACGGCGGTCGAAAGCAACAACCCAGGGGTCAAAATCAAAAAGACATTCAAAGCCCTGTCTGGTAGTAGGAGTGTGTAACAAAAATAACTTGCAAGACAACTAAACAATCTCACCTAATTTATTTACAAGAAAAACAAAAAGAACCGTTTATTCGCCGATAAACCCCCAAAGATTAAGCGAAGATATTAATTTGAAAAAAAAGAAAAGAGAGAGAAAAAGAAATGAGAGGAGTACCCGAAAATGGTGGAGTTGAGGGATGGAAAAAAAGAAGGATATGGATTAAGGTAAACCAAATCCAATGATTGAGAGAGAAAGATCTAGGGCAAAGGAAAGAAGAATCAGAACAGTGTGGGCAAAAAAAGGATTGCAAATGGCAACCCTCTCTCAATTAATTAATTTAATAAAAAAAATTGGACTCAGTTCCCTCTGTGTGAGCACTTTCCGAACAAACACAAACACAACCACAACCGACTCTTCTTTCTCTGTGTCCGTTCCTCTCATCCATTGGTTGGCGCTGCCTTTTTCTTCCTTTTCATAGTTTACTTTTATATTTAAATTGCAATTCATCTTATCTTTTAAAAAAATAGAATATATTTATTTTATACATTTAAGTTTATAAAAATATAATTAAAATTTAATGGAGATATTTACTTTATAAAATTTAATAATGATATTTTAATAAATTTATTGTGGAATGTATTTATATTATTTATATATTTTTTAATATAATATATTCCATCATATAACTATTTTAAGTAATAGAATCAATCAAAATAAAAAAATATATTAAATTTAAATTAAATTTAAATTAAATTTAATGATTGTTAAGAAAATTATTTTCAACATATTTGAAAATAATAATTTATAAATAATACTTTTTATAAATTATTTTTAAAATAAATAATTAAAATTATAAAATATGGAATAAAAATATTTTTTTACTAAATATTTAATTTAATCTATACCATTATATTAAGATATTCTCTGTACATATTTTCTTTTTCGTTTTACCTCTTAAATAACAAGTTTTTCAAATCAAAATAATTACATTATTAATTTTACTTTTTATATTTCCGTTTTTTCTTCATTTTAGATATTTTTCTCTATTTGACCTTTTTTATAAAATTAACTTATTTGGATATTACAGATAATATAACATAAATTTATAATATATAAATAAATGTATATCGAGATTTAAAGTTAATTTCTTAAAATAATATTAAAATCATAAATTTAAATCTATTTTAATGAGATTTTTTTTGTTAAGTTTCAGAAAATTATATATATATATATATATATATATATATATATATATATATAAATTAATAATTTTAATTCTAAAATAAGTTTTAATTAAAAAAATCATATCTATAGATTAAATTATATATAGAAAGAGAGGATATATAGATAAATTAATAATTTTAATTCTAAAATAAGTTTTAATTAAAAAAAACATATCTATATATTAAATTATATATAGAAAGAGAGAAATTATTCATATTTATACATTATGGTTAAGAAAATGATAAAAGAAATGAATTAAAATTAATTTAAGATAATATTTTAAATATAATACTTTTTTAAAAAATTTGGACGTGTTTTCTAAAAAGCACTAAAATAAATATTGTATTAAGTGCATGACATAATTGTTTTTGCATATTACAAAATATAACTATTCAAATCTAACTCTACTCACTTATCAATTTTAATATAATTTTTAATGTCCTTAGAGATAAACCATCTTCTATTGGGTGAAAAATTGTTACATTTATTTTAATTTGAAAAATAATGTCAATGCTAAGTGTTTCATATTCAATTTTTTAAAATTGATTTGAAGAATTGCTTAATGTCAATTTAAAAGAATATTTTTCACATTATTCTTGATCATCTGACTTCCTTACCTGCATGTCAATTTATATAAAGTAGTAAATAAATTGTAGTTATAAAAAAATATTACAATAAGAACTAATTGATAGTATAAAAGGATAACAAATCCTCCAGTTACGTAATTTACAATTATGCTAACAACTACAAAATTCAGAAAAATGAAGCACTTAAAATTAGACTATACAAACTTTGAAATAGTTTAGACAACAAACAATATTGTATTCTTAAAAAATTGCTTTGCAGTGCAAACACATGAAACACTTGAATGCTTTATTTTGCAAAATTCTTCATTCTCACAAATATATCCTTCAAACATTGAACTTTTACTTATTTGCAAACAATAAATTTAATTACTAAGACAGTTTCAATTTAAATCTCCACAAAATAGAAAAGTTTTAACTTTTGGTTCTTAAAATCAGACTCTAATATGTTTATACCTTTTTTATGTTTCACTTTTTTTAAGAATATGTTGTATTAATGTGTCCTGAGTAATATTATTTCATTAAACCCTCTTGGATTGAAAACACGTTATTGAAATTAAATCCTAGTTAAAATACAACAATCAAACCCCAAAAATATTGTTGAAGTCATCCAATGTTAAATTAATTAAATATGCACACTAATAAAAAGAACTACAATATAAATTCGTTTACCCTTAACCTTGTCACGTTATATTCAACTCAAATATCTCGTCGTAGGATTTATTGAAGAGTGTGGTAGTGTATATAAAAAAAGCCAATAATCTTAGTTAATGAATCCTATAAAAAGAAGTTCATGACGGATTAGATATATAACAAATAACTTTTTACTCTAAAAAAAATCTCTACAATATGAATACAGGAACCATTCTTAGTATGCTTGCAAAGTTCTTATATACATCCCTCAAATATTAAACTTTAAAACTGACATTTTATCTCTTTAAATATTTCAATTTTTAGTTTTAGATTTAATTTCAATAATTTTGTTCAGGTTTAATTAGTAAGTTATTTATTTTAAATCTATAATTTGATCTTTATTTTTTTTTATTTAATTGAATCCCAATTTTAGTAAATACAGTTAATTTAGTCATTCGTTAAATTTCTATGTTTTTTTTTTCATTTTTTAGAAAATAAAACACCGCGACGAAAGGAACTATTTGTACAATTCAAAAACAAAATTCTCACCATAGCAAGATGACAAACTTTAAAATTTCAATTTTTTTTACACTTAATAATAATTTAAAATGTTAAAGTGTGCCAAGAGGTAGAAAGAAGATAAAGGTGATGAAAGACAAATTTTAACATTGACACTCCAAACAACATTAGCATCAATTAAAAAATATTAAATTGAATTTATTTAATAAATTTTGAATAAGTTAAAAAATATAAATATAAAGATGAAAGTGTGTCATTGATGAAAATATTGGGACGAAATGATGAATTCGGCTTTTGCACCAAACTAGGCAAATATGCCTTCTTTATTACCAAAATGGGCAAATTTTGACCCAAAGTGAAGTCGTGGGGCCAAAACGACTTCAATTGAAGAAGTCGTGCCCCCTGTACACGACTTCACCCTGTTCATTTGACCAGGGTTGAAGTCGTGCACCCCAAAAACGACTTTAGGGTATGGTAATCGATTACCACACATGTTGTAATCGATTACCATACCGTTTTTAATAAAAAAATAAAAAAAATTGAAATCGTAGGGTGGGTTCACGACTTCAATAAGAGAAGTCGTGCACCCCCAACACAACTTTACTTTCTTATTATTTTTAACTTTAATTAATTAAAATCATTTACAATTTCTAAAAAATATTTTTAAATGTATTTAAAATAATTAAAATTATATCTAATTAATAATAAAAAAATTTCAATATTATTAAATAAATAAATTTCATATTTTTAATTATTTTTGTAATTAAATTAAACTTTTTATAAAAGAATTTCAATTAAATAATTTATAACTATAATTATCTAATTAAAAATTCAAAAAAAATTATATTTTATTATAATTTATTGTTTTTAATTTTTATTATTATAGTATAT